ATATGTGTATTAAGTATTTGTAACATTTATAGATGTGAGAAAAGGGGTGAAAGCTCTTCTAAATTCATTAAATTATAATACAAAGTCCAAATAGCAGCGTTGTTCCTAAGAACTAAATGTTGCTCGCATAGGCTATTGAATATTAGAAGCTTAAAAATGAGATAAAAAGTCATTCCGTAAATGCTCTCTAATTATTTAACTAAAGAGAGCCCAAAAAATCCTAGACTCTTCGGAAATGGATAATTTAAAATATTAATAATAATGTCATGGTCCATGAAATTTTTCAAAAGCTTTTTGGTTTTTGAAGCTATAAGTAAGTTTCCTTCTTGACGAACTATGATGAAACTCGTATGAAATACTTTAAGAAATTTAATAGTGGTTAGTATTTAATATTAATGTGAAAATTAGTTTAATTTTTATCCATTATAAATTACCTCAAATTAATAAGGAAAAATTGTACTCTGTGTCGCACCCACGCAACGAATTTAATTCATTCTTTAGTCTAAACTTTTCTGTAGGTTGTTGTTTGAACTAATATTTACATACAAATATATACCATACATGTTAAAAATAGAGAGATGCATCTCTACATGGGTAGATGTTGTTCTAAATTTTCCAAATTGTTACACAGTCTAAAAATATTATTCTGTATAAGGTATTATTTATTTTCATGAAAAAATTGTTATTATTGCATATTTTTTCCGGCTATGATAGCTACTGCTTCAAGTTGGAGATATTTAATAAAGCAACCCTCCTTACTGATGTTATAATAGTTCAAATTCCAGTAATGTCAATAAGTACTAATACATGTAGGTGTACTTTAATGTTCTAAAAAGTTTATAAATTCTTAACCTTTAATCAAAATATTGTTTCTGAAGTGCATGTTCTTCTAGGTTTCTTTCCTGACGTATCATTGAACTCTTTTTATTAAAAATCATATTATGAGGTATCCAACTCATCAGAAATAGATTAATTTACTCGGTAACGTAAAATATTACGTATATATGAGGCTTTGAGATTGAATTCAGAAAACATAGTTCAAATTCATCCATGTTTATCAAACTGCGAGATCCGAAAAATTTACACATCTATGACTTCCGAGCAAACTACCCTGTACTTAATGAGGAATTTTTAATAAATGGCAAACTTTTGCTCTTTACCCTTCCCAGTGTACATGTGTGTAGAGGTATACACATATACGTTTCCTTTTACCGCCCGCGTCTTTACCCAAATACCAATGAATATTCAACGTCCGGATTGAAATCGAGAAAGCAATTAGTGCGCAAACGACTAATGCTTGTACGATGCTATTGCCGAGTAAGTAATCTCAATTCTTCATGGAGGTAAACTCCCCCCTTTCCCGGCATTCCGTTCCTTTCTGTCTACTTATTACTACTGCGAATTGCAATGAACAATAACTTCCGAAATTAAAACCATACCATTTCCAGTCGCAATTAAAATTAATTTCTCATTATACCAGATTAAGTTAAGTGGTCGAGTTCGTGGATGACTCATCGCAGCATTGCAGAAATTATGCTTTGAGCGATACCATCAGTCATTATTCTGATGTGCTTCTGCAAGTTTACTTTCCAGTTTTGCTTATGTTTGCCTTGTTTTCGTTGTCGGGATCGTTTCTTTTTGGAAATGAGCCAGAATAGACAATAGTGCAGTGCTGGATTGTCAAGCATAAACGCTGCAAATTGCAGGACACAAAATCTTTGCACATAAACGTAAATAAAAATGATTTGAAAAATTCGGTGTAAAAGGACATTATTAAATCGAAATAAAGTATAAATAAAAGATACTTCAATACTTTTACGATACCTAATTATTTTAATAGCAAGCTGATGCAATGATTCATGGATCCGAGGGAGGATTTTTCATTTTCTCCGAGTAGTACAAGTATGACAAAGATAAAAAATGATAGTATCTAGTTTGGAGTTCACTGTTTATAATGAGACCTTTTTTTGGAATTTGGAACTAAAAAATTGACTTTTTTATCGCTTCTAACCTTCTGGGAATTGCTGTAGATTTTTTTTCGAAGTAGTCGATGCAGTTTTTCTCTTATTTAGTTCTTCTTCTCCCTTTTTTTGAAACTGATTCGCCTTTGTTTTTGAAAATTAGTTTCCGCGACTTTGTCAGTTTAGATATTCTGTTAATGGCATTATCGGGTTGTAATCATTAAACAAGACTTGGTCTTGTCCCCGTCTGTTGTAGGGTTGGCTCAATGAAGGGGAGACAAACGACGGGTGTTTTCGGGTGAGCCGGACGGGAAGGCGGTAACGGGAACTTTCGGGAAGTCTCGAGTCTCAATAAGATTGTCTGAAGAGAAGTACTCCCTCGGGGAAAATTCGCCAAGATAATGGAGAACACAAAACTTTTTCCATCGGATCTTCGACGGTAAACTAATACTCGAGTAAACGGTTAACCCTAATAAAGACGTAAATTAGAAAAGGAAAACTTTAAACACGATTGCTCTCAAATTCGTGTACAAGAAAATCTTGTAAACGAACAAAATTTAATGTTTAGTTATTGAAAACGTAATTAAACGGCAGTGACGGCTCGTGGACATCCTTTTCAAGAAAGTACCCGATTAGAAATTAGAAGCAGGTTAGTCCGATATATGTGAGGACCTAATAAGGCTGTCCAGTTTAGGGAATTTCCAGTGAGGTCCTAATGAGGATTGAATAAAGATAAGAATATACTTGACAGGTTCAAATCAGGTAAAAAATCAAAGTAAAAAAATGATGAAATCGTGTTTTTCACGCTAGGATCACATCAGCATTAGATCATTTCATGCTTTGCAGGGTAAATGTAATTAAATTCTGATCAGGATTGAGTGTGGATAAACTTGATCAGATGACTATACAAGAGAAAATAAATTTTCCTTATCGTTAAATGTCAATTACAATTTTACCAGACTTTTTTTCGATGTCAAAAAAATTTTATCAATAAATCTATGGTTATCTTAAAACTGGCCTATTTTAATAATAAATTTGCAATCAGGTTTTGAGAGGGTTCTTTGAATTTCCCTATTAGGTCCTAATTTTAATTTCCTTATCAGATCCTTAAAAAAAAGCGCAACAGTCCTACTAATATCCACATAGGGTGGTCCTTGTCAGGACCTTGTATGAATCGAGGTTATACCCTGTCAGGACTACGATCATAATTTCTTGTTGGGTAAATTTGACGAATAGAACAAAATAAGAAACGAAGCTTTGTAATTCGCAAATTTGTAATTCTAGAATCAATACTCTAGAAAGAAATTATAATAACTAAACAAAGAGCATTAATTTTTCTGGAACAATATAAGGTTGTAGTTTTCGCGCGCCTAGACGTTCTCGAACTTCCGAGGTATTTGGAAAAATGCATTTTCGAATTCAGTTTTGTATGAAAAACCTACACAAAAATTAATTCTTATTATAAAATCGTAGTTAGAGTTTTTATTAAAAGAAAGGTAATTATCCAGAATTGAGGCTCCAGATCAAAATCGCTCCAAAAATTTTTTCATCGATTTAAAAATGTGTCTCCCCCGCTTCAAATATAATCATGGAACCTTCAGAAATGACCAGAAATTGATGAAAAAATTTTTGAAGCGATTTTGGTCTAGTGTCCCAATTCTAGGAATTGTATGAAATTCCGATATTGTACTAGGAAATGTATAAACCTAATGCTTTCTGTGAATTAAATACTCTAACATATTAGACCGTCTCCGGCGGCAGGGGCATTATTTAAATTGTAATCTTTCATAAATCTACCTAACCAAAAGATGACGTCGTCGACAATGCATGTACCTAAATTATTAAAAAATTTTTTTTTTATTTATGAAGTCATAAAAAACTGTCTCCCCCACCTTCTAAAATCTAATTCTATTATGTAGAATGACCAGAAATCGATGAAAAAATTTTTGGAGCGATTTTGGTCTGAAGCCCCAATTCGGGACAATTACCAAAAGAAAACCTGTTGACTTGGGTATCAATCATATTTACCAACTGCGGTGGTTGAGACCTCTTCAAATTGAACGAAAATCTGTTTTCAGACCTGAACTGCTACTTACATTCTGGTTTCCCACGTTTTATATCAAATACTTACCTTTATAATATAAAGTGGAATATTAGTCCGAAGCTTTTTTATGACATATTTCAAATACCTATGTGTCTAAAGTAAAATGACGATCAATGATCGTTATAAAGTATAAAATGCTAACCAAAAGAATAATTTCTAACGTTCAAATAATTCCTTCGATTACTATTGGATTACCCGATAAATCTCATTCTGTTAGCTTGTTTTGTAGCATTGTCCCTCACAGGAATTATGGATGCTTAATTCTCGCCTTTCAGTTACTCATTGGATGTAATAAACATCAATTACACCATCATGGATTACAAAAGCCGCGGCTTATTGCAGGTAATTACGATTTTTACGCGCCTCCCAAACTAAACGTGTATTTGTAGAGTTCAAAGAATAGTAAAAAAAAGTGTAAACAGATAGAATCGGTATATGGAAACATTTACAGAGGAACATCGTTAACCACGTCCGACCCGGTAATTTATTACTTTATTGCATCTACCTAAAATAATTTTTCAAAAGCCGCAATAAAAGCGCACAAATACACACCGTGACCATAAACTCATAAATGTCATGGTCATTTATTGCCCCACTTATAAACTAATATTCGCTCTCTAGCTGGAACCGGCATCCATGTCCCATAAAATAATTTACTGCACCCATAAAGGCATTCAGAGCGGTCTACCCCTTAATGGGGTCTTCTATAGACCTATAGTATCAGCACCATCAGCAGTCTGTTGCTCATTGTCAGTCAGCACCACAAATTTTTGGAATGCTACCAAGAGAAAGCTGTCGACGACGACCAATACCGTCCGCCTCCAGGCTTTTAAAACTATCATCATCCTTCCCACATTTTAGGGTAGGTAAAGAACAGTCAGATCGTCCCGTCCACCAGTCCTCCCATCTACGTCGACACTCGTGTCAAAACAGTTTAGTTCTCTGCCAGGCGTGAAAGCTCGAGGACGTGTAGCGGTCGCGAACGCTCGATACTCGAATATCGTATCCGACTCGAACTTATTCGTCGTAGTGCAACGGTTCGAATAGAATTTTTTTTAAGTGACTTATTTTCTAGTTTATTTAATAGCTTTTAGTGCGCAAATAAATTCATAAAGTGAAAATTGGACTTCATTGTGGGTGTTCTATACCTTGAATTGGATGGTATCAGTTCGTGGGAAAGTTGAATTAATTCTGTAACGTTAGAATAAAAAGGATATTTTTTAGTGATTAAGGTGTCCTCAATAAAAATTTGATTCTATAAGGGTGAGTGATATCGTAATATTAGACTTGACAGGTTTTTATTTCAGCGAAAGGAGTTACCGTGGAAAATTTTCCGTAACATCATACTTTGCTTTCAAGACATTTTTCATTGAGTTTCGTTAAAAATAAAATATTGATCAATTCTTTAACTCTAAATATTGTACTCCTACAAATAATGTAAGGATCAACTGCTTTTAAGATTTCATACTTCGAAATGGAATGGAAAGCTTGGTATTTCCTGTTGACCCATACTCTTAAAGTTTGACTGGATGAAATATTTCATGCTACAAAGATCTAATTCTTAATTCTGTGTGGAATTAGATGTTACATGACGAAACTTAATATTGTTGTTTAAATTTAACAGAAAATTTTGAAGTAATTACTTATTAGTTTTGGATGTCAACTGTTGCCCTACTTTTCTTAGTGAGTCAGTAGTTTCGGCACTGAAAATGAGCAACAAAGTGTTCCTCAGAGTAATAAATTACTTTAGCGGTTATTCAAGTAGCCACCCCGAACGGGTCCCAACCTTTTGTTCGTTTATAATGAAGGCCCACAGTATAAGTTGGCACCCAGCTTTTTGAATTCCATTGGAAGAAAAGTGTACCTCTGCTTTTTCAATACAGACCTCCTTTAGGGCATGCTTAGAACTGCCTACTCTGTCACAACACAAAAGTGACTATTCATTTTTATTTCCTCCCTGGAGAAAAGAGACCCATTTCACTATACAATTGCTGACAGCTGAGACCGTTCAATTTATTGTAGTTAATGACTACGTATAAGGAAGGAATCTTAAACGCTATTTTAACTTAAATGAAGAATCTCACCAAATTCTATTTTGGTTGCAATTTCACGAATGATCTATTGATGTGCAGAAAATAACATTTTTGTATCGAGTGAACTCTTCAAAAAGAAATCGAAGGAGAAGGATGAAACAGTGGATTTAGTGTCTCGTTCATCTATTCTTTTTTATCTGATATCGGTGGAGTTTTTGATTTAGATAATTACGCAGTGAGAGATCAATTGAAGGATTTATTGAGTTGTGGACGAATTAATGTGATTTAACTCGAATAAGGAGGACACATTGACTTATAATGTTTTCCTATTTGGACTGGAATCGAGACGTAGATGGCAAACCTCACGTTATTCTCTACCTCGATTCCAATTCCCTTGCTTAACGATGCCTCCTCCTGGAGTGATTGCTTCATTAAAACATCAGAGTGAGTTAGCACCGCTCGCTATCTGCCGGCAAAAGAACAAAGACATGCATCTCTGTCGGCTGGCTCTTCCACCCCTCTTTTAGTGGGTACCCCGTACAGAGGTGCATGTGCCACATCAGCAGAAACGTTTCTGCGTCAATCCGAGCGTGCACATCAGTTAGGGCTGATTCGCTCGTTGTCTCCCGCGACTACCAGCGACGCTTGCTATGCTTACAAAATTCACTAACATTTTAAAGACATTCAGAGACTTACATACGTACGTATTTGAATAGAAAGGTGTAATTTGCTGATGTTTTAAAAATTGGGAAGATTTTCACAAATTGCCTTAGTACGTAAACCATGTCTAGTAAAGTTGTTCTTTTGTGAAAATCTCTCCTTAAAAGAATCCTGTGTAAATATTATAATTTAATAATAATGTAGATGTTGTTTTTTTACTTTGAGTGTAGTGTAAAAACCTTAATAGAAAGTACCTAAATAAATTTGAGCAGCACATTTTCCTTGTTATTGCAAATGATTTGTTGCTTTCCATATTAAGAAATAGCTTTACCCAACAATTTTTGTTGACAAGGAGAAATGCCCAAATTACCTCTGAAATTATACTGCTTATTATTTGCAACCAAGAAGCTGAAAACATCAAATTTTGCCTTCAGTTTCAGAAAAGTAGGTACACTTAATTTCAAAAGTAATTTTAAAGATATTTCTTTTATTACTACATAAATCCACTAATTTTGTATTTTGAGCAGCTGGGCCAGTTTCACTGAAACCTGGTTTGCAGTAAGCATTCAAATTTTTGAGAATATCAGTGTTTGGAAGGTAGATGCTATGCAAATAATTAATACAATTTGTATAAATCTTCTAAATCTTCGTTTCAAAATCTTCTTTTTAGCTGTGTGCCTGTTTCTTTCAATAAGTAATTTAAATGAAACTCTACTACTGCTTCATCCAATAGCTACTGCACCAAAAAGCATATTTCTTTTGTTACTTCCCTGCCATTTGTTATTTGTTCATGATCATCATAATGTACCATCTACTCATGAATTAACAAAAAGATGCAAAGCCGGCTTGAAAGCTTGTCAGGAAAATTGATTTCTGGTTGAGCGTGTTGTTGTCTGGCTGATGTAAAAATGTAGCAGCGTGCGTTGTTTCTTGTTGGAGCGAGTGAGTTGGCATTACGGCTATTTTAATGTAACAAAAGAGAAGTGAGAGTGTATATACCTAAATGTACATATGTATGTGTGTACATGCACCTTTGCTTGTATGTGTGTATATAAGCACCCCTCGTTAGGGTACATGGAGCACAGCCCCCTCGGTTTGAACACAACGCTCAAGAGATGTGAAACAGTTTCAGTTTGATCTGAAACGCCGCGCCGGTGGTGTCATGTCGGTCCTTAGAAAGATCCGTTACAAGCTTTCGAAACGCTGTGAATAGAGTTTTCTGATTTCTGTGAACTTTTGCGAAAATAGTTTCCATATTTGGAGTTTTCGAGTTTTCAACTTTTAGCATGAGTGTAGGCAATTCTCAATGTTAATAATAATGTCAATTTTCCTCAAACTTCGCATGTACGCGACATTTTAATTTTATCTCAAGTCAAAGTGCCTTTATGTAATAGCAGCCAGTACAGTTAGTTCTGTCGAACGTCGATAAATTGTAGGTGTTACGCAATAAAGAAACGAAACTGATTGAAATGCGACAATGTCACGGGTGGTATGGGCGCTTTTTTATTGAACAAGTTCGTTTTCCCTTTTTTGTACGTGAAATACAGCTTCGGTTTGTGTTTTCTGAGTTTTATTGGAAGTTGAGAAATTTATCTGTAATCTGTTGGAAGTTGTGGTCTTCGTAGCAAAAGGTTTCACATAAGGGAATAATAGGAGAAAGCGCAAGCAGGTTTATGGGTTTAAGTAGGTTGTGCCAATGTATGTGTGCATTTGAGAGAAAGAGAGAGGGTGGAGTGAGAGAGTTATCTCAACCGATATCGGGGAATGATGTAGAGCAAACTAATAAATTTTATATGCTTCAAAGGCCGAATCCGTTTTAGCACCTAACTCTCCCGACTTGGGCTTGGGCTGCCTAGTCGCCACTGCGAGCAAAAAGAAGAGCGACGGAATCGGAACTGGCTTGCAGCCAACGCGCTTGTACCGCTAAATGCTATTAGTATCTAGCAGGAGAGCGTTGAATCGCCGAATAAATTCCTGCCAAAGCTTTTTGTCCTTTTAAATGGGACCTCTTATGTACATAAAAACTCGTGCTAATTGAATTTTTCGCGAAAATTCATTAAATATTCCTACCGGAACGGACAGCCAACCCGAGTCGCTCCATAGATATAACGTTCAACATTGTGCTTCTTCCTCTTCAACACCACCACCACCCACCGGTATTTTTCGTAGCGATGTTTGAATTATTCAGTTACCGAAAGGGTCGTGGAATTTCTAGCACAGTTACTCTAAAATGAGTAAAAAACTGTAGATTTCTTTCTACTTGAATTACAAGAAGTATTTCCTTCGTTTTAATGACACTTACGATTAACAAAATCTAACCCCAATACAGATAAAGTAACAAGTTAAATAAATCAGCCTATAAAACAAAAACCTGTGCATTACTATTTTAGGTTGGATTTCCCCCAAATAATACAGAGCACTACATAAATATTCAACACAATTGCAAAATAATGAGTCTTAAAAGCGAGTGGATTTTGTTTTCTTTTATAGATTTGTAACCAATAAATACTTAGGACAAATGAGATCAGGTCATGGCAACTTATAGAAATTTTGTTTCGTGTTTATTCTTTTTAACTTTCTAGTAATTTGATTTAATACCGTCACGATCGGTATACTTTGAGGACAAAAATTTGCTAAGACGTTAATTATACTAATGAATTATACCGGGCTCTCATTTAACTCATAAGATTCGACGACGTGAAACTACCCGTTACTCGGAATATTGGTAACTCAAAAATGTTTCTTTCCTTGTAAAGGTTTTTTTTTGATAATGTCTGGTCGGCTCAAGAAATAATTTTAGAACCTACTAATAAGATTTACCCACAAATAAAACATTTATTAAATTTCGCAGCTGCTGCTTTTTGCTTTAGTAGCTTTTTATATTCAATCAATAAATATTTTATTTAATATTTATTTCTATTCTGATTTTGTGTAGGTACTTTGTTGCGATTTTTGTAATGTGTCTTTTAAATTGTTTCGTTTTTATTTTTCGCGTTCTTCTTTCTCCCGTCGGTTTTGGTCTGACAAACTTATTGCACTGTCTGCGAATCCTTGGCATTTTACCAACAACCGACTCCTGGGTATTTCCTGGCGAAATCGGATCGTTTTTATAATGCTACAGCCATCAGAAAGGAGAAAAACATATTTCTTGTCGACTATTAGCACAAACATTGATATTAATGAAAATACTACAAATGGCGTGGTGAGCGCCATCTGTAGTACGATGCTACATTTTAGGATTACGTATGCTCCAACAAGGTCCATTTAAAAATATGGATATCTACTTTCTGAAACGAATCCCGACGTAGCTCACCTCAACGTAATAGGCACGTTACCGTAATCGAACAAAATAATTCGAAGTGGTCTGTATTCTGTCGAAACTGCCAGACGCGGATCGCGATTTCGAACTTTTTGGATCTCATCAGCGCGTCGCAGGCAGCTCCGACAAAACACAGACCAACCTTTACAATGGTAACGTGCCTATTACGTTGAGGTGAGCTACGCCGGGATTCGTTTCAGCAAGTAGATATCCATATTTTTAAATGGACCTTGTTGGAGCATACGTAATCC